CCACCAAGGGTAGGGTGGGCGAATGAGGCGCAATTGCTGCCTTAGATTTGAGGTGTGCACAGCCACAGAAGGTCGCAGAAGGGCCTGGCAATCTGGCTATCAGACGACTTATGACTGATAGCCTTCGTGCTCTTGAGAGCTGTAGTGTGTGTCTCGGTGTGCCAGCCTTCAAAGTCTCAGCTTGAGGTCAGCGTTCAAGTGACATGGATGCCAACATTGCAGCGCCTGGTCATGTCAAGCGCGCTCAAGCGTGATGAGCCAATCGCGACAGGGTTCATTAGGCCCATTAGGCCCAGTGACCTGTAAATGCCTGGATTCTTTCAGATTGATGACAACCCACCAGCTCCTGCAAATTGCAAATTGCAGGAGCGAGACAGGCATCTGGCTGGCAGCGAAATAGATGGGACTGAAAGTAAGACAGTGCGCCTTTGTCATTTTTGTTGCGAGGCTCAATCATTGCTTGGCGGTCTGGCTGCTGCAGGTCATCGACATCAGGCTGTGTTTAGGTGCGGCGTCACCGCGCCACCTGTGCCGCCGAGCCAAGGGAATGCCGGCGGGAACCTATGAACTTTCTTCAAGCACTGGCTGCCTATAGGTAAAAAAGTGAATGTGAAGTGTCATCGCCGCAGCCTCTGGCTGTTCGCCCCAACAGGTCTGGTATAATTGCTCTTTTCTCCTAGCCTTGCAGCATGATAAATTCGTGGATTGGAGCACAAATGTGTCTCACTCACGTGAGCAAGCACTAGCTTCCACGTCGCGGTCTAGTGCCGCCACAAGAACTCTGGAGGCAGAGGTCGACGGTAGGTCCATTCTGTATGGGCACTCTTGTACTAGTAGTACTAGATAGCGGTTGGTAGTTATAATCCGTACTGCGTCATAGATTGACTCTCCTTTTGGCACGGTCCAATACTGTCTCTTGGGAGCGGCATTCCGAACATTAAATGGCAGGAGCAACCCGAGCGGCGAGGGCGACACCGGCTGGGAGGCAGCGAGGGGAGCTGTCATTCCGCCATCTGAGCCTGTCAGCTCAATCTTTGATTTTGCGCTATGAAGTCATCAAGACACAAGTCTGCAGTCACTAGGCTTTCGGCCTGCTTCGAGGCCTCTCGGGTTTCTCAGGTTCGTCATGTCGTGGTTGTCTGGTGTCTGCTGCCCCTCCACTGCCCCTCCATTGCATTCTTTCAGCCCCGCTGGCTACTCGCCTGTTCCACCACCGGCGCAACCGTCATTGGCTTTTCGGATTTTTCAACCAGTTGTGTTGGCATCTCTAACATGCCTCACGCTTCTCGCCTATGACCGCCTTGTTGGTCAATGAATTGGGCATGCTTGCCGTCGAATTAGGTGGGTGATAGTACGCATCCAAAGAATTGCGAGCGTTCGAGCGTTGGGTGAATGGTATCACCGTGTCACGTCATCTGTTTGGTACACCTGACACCAAATTGTTACAATCACCACCGTCTTCTTGCGACACCTTACAAAAGCAAACGAATTTGATATGCGAGATTGTTACTAGACTTAGCTGTCGAGGGCCGGCCAGCTCATTATGCCATTTGAACCTGAGGGGGTGCCCTCAACAGCGTTGCCCTATTTCGAAGACTCTACCGCCGAGACCGACGTATGGGTGCCGTACTATAGCCATGGCTGTACTTTTGGGCCAGAGCTGTTTTCTAGCATCATGATGAATATGGTTCACAACCCTAACATCAATTCTACTTGGCTATTTCGCGCAGATATCTTGTACGACGACGGAAACATGGACGAGGCCACTACAACAAACATCTCCAACGGTGTGCCTGACACCATCCAACCCGTCATTCGAAGTATCCCACATATACCCCTGAAGCGCACTTTAGTACGACGATTGATCCCCAGGAGCGAAAGAAGGGACAATCCCCTCAATCAAACTTGCACTTTCCATTTCACGAATGAGTCAGAAACACTCGTCACATCTTTGGTCTTATATATTCCTCATGTGGTGTCTATGGAGCATCTACCCTTCTATCACCCAAAGGTCCGAGGAATTGCACACCTTCATCAGTGGAGCACTACTTCGCGCTCTGGCACAATATCGGTTCATTTTCTAGGGGGTTCGCCAAGTGACCTTTTGGATCCCAAACTAGGTCGAATTGCCTTTCATCTTCTTGAGGTTCTTCACAGACATGGCGAAGGAGCTGTGCAAGGTTACGTCAAAAGGGTCCATCACGATCGCGTTATACCCCAGGCAAGATTTCAAAATCGATATGCGGAACTCAAGAGCAAATATTCGCGCCGACTGGTCAACACCTGGGCTGAGAGCACCGACCCTGGCAAACACGTATTTGAAGATCTTGGCATTGCTGCTTTCTTGATTGAGCTATGGGCAGACATGTACAAGGGCAAAGAATTCCCTGGTTTCGTTGATATAGGGTGTGGAAATGGTCTGCTCGTGTATCTCCTTACACAAGAGGGTTATAACGGTTGGGGTTTCGATGCGCGGGCGCGAAAATCATGGGCCAACTACACAACTCCAACAGCCATGTCACCGTCTGGGAAATCTCTTGAGGAAAAGCTTCTATTGCCCAGCATAATACCCGCCCACAGAGACAGAAACAATCCCTCTCAACTATTACACTCTGCTCATATCCACGATGGAGTCTTCAGATCAGGTACATTCATCGTCTCAAATCACGCCGACGAACTGACACCTTGGACGCCTATCCTCGGCACAATCTCCAACTGCCCCTACATCATGATCCCCTGCTGCAGCCACAGTCTGACTGGGGAGAAATACCGCCCGCCCCCACCAAGGGACAAGTCGAAGCCAAAGTCAACATATGCCTCGCTGGTTGACTGGGTGTCCCAAATTGCAGAAGATTGTGGCTGGCAACCAGAAACTGAAATGCTACGCATCCCGAGCACAAGGAATACGGGAATCCTAGGTCGTCACCGAATCAAGGCAGCTTCTGACATAGACATACACGCCATACTACACAAGTACGGCGGTGTTGAGGGATACTATGAAAATGTAGTGAAACTGGTCAAGGCGGGGCCACGATCACACTGAGACTTTACCCCCTTAGTCTAGGTCAGGAACTGGCAAGTGATCTACCAGCTTCATACTCAAGCCCAACTCTCGAAGCGCTTGGATGGCATTGCGATCTCGTAGCTCATCGGCTTCCTTTTGTGTGACAAGCACAAAATCGTGCTTCAAGAGAAGTGTGCCCTCCTTCACGCCATATTTGGCTGCCGTGGCGGCATCAACTTTCTCCAGATCAACAATGAGGCTCCTCTTGACAGCAAACACGGCGTCGCTCGTCTCATAAGGATCGCCACACATGTACAATGCCCTTGGATAAGTCATATTAGCAAAGAGCCGTCGGCCCTCCTAGCAGTTGCAAGTTGAAATACTTACGTGGTCAAATGATCCCAGCCATCCTTTTCAAACATGAAGTGCATATGCGCCGGCCGCCAACAATGCCGTTTCAGCAGCTTCAGCAACTGCCCAACCGGCCCGTCCTCGGGTATGGCATAACTCACGGGCCTGACTGCCTTGAACCAAAACTTGCCCTTGGCGTCGCTCACAATGATGCACCTCTCTCTGGGACCCTCCCGGTGGTCGTGCTGCACATCATATTGGCCCGATGAATCAGTCTCCCAAATGTCCACCTTGACGTCGGATACAGGATTCCCCGCCGTATCGCTGACGGTGCAAAGCACAAGGAGGGGCTCGCCATTCGGATCAGATGTCATGGAGCTGCCAGAGTCAATGGTTGGTGCGTCGTGGGTATGGAACGGACCGAGGTTAGACCCCTCTGTTGAAGCAGGCGGTTTAGGATGGTTGATAGAGTCGACCAGCAACGATAAGGCGAGTACGTCGGAAAGGAGGATGAATTCCTACCACTGTCAGCACGGCCCATCCTTTTCACGACATGACAAAGAGTTAGAGATTAGAGAAGAAAAGAGAAATAATTCACAAATGCCATCTATTTTGATACCAAGCCAGGTGAAAAGAGCGAGACTTACATGCCTCACATCGCTACTCGTTTGCCCACACCTCACCAAAAAGTCCAACGCCGCCATCCACTCCGTCGTGCTCAACCTCGTCCCCCTCGCAAAGTCATGCAGGTGCGTAATCAGCCTCTCCACGAGGTAATTAACACGCGCATTCCCGCTCTGCGTACTGATTCGCACCACATTGGGCGTAATGTTATCTGTTGTAAGGTCCAACAGGGGCCCTGGCAGCGTAGGTTGTGCCATGCTGTACGATGTCCTCGTCAAATCGTGCGGGCCGGACTTCAGGACCCCGTCTTCTTATATATTCGGCCCAGGCGACCGGTGGCATGATTGTCCTGTTGTAGATTCTCCTTTCGGCCGCACCCTTTCATCCCGCCTCCCCTTCCCGGTCTGCCATCTCGTCAACGTGATGCGACTATCCCCGCCGTCCTGGTGTCATTTTTGGCGGGGTAGGTTGTATTTATACACTCGAGATGGCTCACCTGTAAATCTTGCTTCGAATCAGGGAGTTATCGTCGGCGCCAATGTCCCGAAACAGCCTCAGCGGCACTGAATACCATCCACACGGAACATGGCTGACTAGTGCACTTAAAAAAGTCAATGGGATCGAAACAAGATACATCATTATGCTGCCAACGCCAAAACTATGCACCCTATGCGGAAGATCGACCTCCTTACACTCTCTACCGAGTTCAGAATTCCACCAATCTGGCAAATGCAGCAGCTTCTCTGTAGTATTTGATATCCATGCTCGTCCATCCTCAAAACACACAATATAGTGACTATTCCTCATGCAGACTTGAACAACACATCATCCATCATTTCCCGTTGGTATGTTCTCAAAACAAGAAAAATAAAAACTTGGTATCCGACAACTGTAAAACATTGCCATCCGCAACATCCATTACTTATTTACTGATGCCATCATATTCGAAAAATTAGAAACAAACGAAAACCGTGGGCGTCAAAATTCGACCACTTGGATTGAGTAAATGCATGCGGCATCATCATTCTTCCTCGTCCTCCTCAATTGGTGCAGGCGTGCGACGCTCGGTGCGCCTCTTGGGTCGTCGATGTCTTGAGCTGCTGATATTGCTGGCAGAGTCATCCGGCATGATGTCAATGTCGTCCATGGCCCAATCATCGTCACTTGCGCCTTCGACATCACTGCCGGCAGCCCAGGCTGGCCGTTCGTATCCCGAGTGCTGAGAATTGCCGGATCCAGGGGTGGACAGCACATCGATGCGACGACGACTCTGCAAGTTCTGCATGAGGCCGGCTCCTCGCAGCCGCAGGGCTGTTCGTACCATCTCTGCCTTTTGGTGCAGTTTCTCAAACGCGTCTTCTAAACTTTCCATGCCTGCGTAAATCTCCCGTTCTATTTCAGCAATGGCTGCCATTTCCATTTCCTCGTCATTTGATACAGGCTGTCTGCTACTTCCCTGGACGCCTGACGATGCCAGGCTAACAAAGGATGCAGGCGTCGCGCCTCGGGAGTAGGGCGAGAATGGGGTTGTAGTCCTGGATCCCATGGCTGATGGTCCTCTAGGCAGCGGACTCATTGAGGAGCGGGAGCCAAAGTAGCCGCTTGCGGGCGTTTCAGCACGAGATTCGAGACCTGGATTCATGTCGTCTGCATCTGCTCCTGACCAGAGGAAGCCGTCAAATCGGCCAGAGGTCAAAATCTCCCATTCGGCGTTATTAATATTTGAAATAGTGACGAGCAAATCGTGAGTATGTGGGTTCTTGACAAGGTAGCTGGCGGATTCAGCATCTCGAGGGACTTGCTGTAGGCGATACAAGCGTTGAAGGGACAAGCCGGACTTGACGATGAAGTCGTTCCGTGGCCTATGAACTGGTGTAGGAGCCCTAGTCGACGACTTTAATTCTCGTGAACCGGACAACAGAGCATTGAAGAATGGCCGATCATCAGCGGCCATGTTTGTCAGAATGGCAAATGTAAGAGTCTCATCGTCCACATCTTGGGGAGGTGGTACTGGAGTTTCACCCGTGTTAGTTAGCCACTTATCTACAGCCGACCTGACCTTCTTCGACTGTCGAAGGTAATGTTCTCTGAATTCTTCTGCGATATCCGGGTCCATTTTCAAGGGAGATGCAGGTCGCGGTGGTACTTCTGCGGAGATCTCAGCGGCTTTGGTCCCAATCTCAGCAAGATCAAACGGCGGCCAGTCTGGAAGTTCAATACGCCCGCTGACCCATTCCAGCACGTCACCCCATGTCAGGCCCTTGTGTATTTCATGAGATCGATCGCACATGACGCATGCGCAGCCGTGAGGCGGCAAGTCCCGTGAGAAAACATTTTCCAGCCTGTCCAACAGACGTCGGGCAACGGAGCGATGGCCAGTCGCAACTGCAACAGAGCCCTGCTTCGCCAAAACGTTGGAATATTGGTCAAGTAGGTTGAGGAATGGCGCAAACAACGTGTCCGATCCAGTCAAGGGGGGGTTCGATGTTCGAGATCCATTCTGAAGAGGCAGGACTGATAAAAAGTGTCGAGGGACGGGGTAGGGCAGACCACCATTTTGCAGCAGGTAGTCGACTCGAGGGATGTCGTGGATATCGATTGGGGGCGGCGGAGGTGGAGGTGGTGGTCCGGCCATGGAAGCTGGGGTCGCCGTCTTGGACGGGAAAGCAGATTCATTGTCTGCAAAGTCGGGCGGAGATGGGTCCTTGCCGCCGTCATACAAGTGGGAGGGAAATCTCGCTGTCTGGGTCGGTGTTCGTGGGGAGGAATCTTGGACGCTTGACGGTGAGGATCCGTCGTCTCGAGACTCGACCCTCTTGGAGCTGGACCTGGCAGAGTCGGATCTTCTCACAGAATGCCGCGATGAACTTGACCTGACAGAGCCAGATGAACGAAGTTTGTCGTGTGATTTGTGCTCGCGTGATTTGATGTAGGTGGCTTGGCTGGACGAAGCAGATTTTCTGCTCAGCTTGGACCGATCATCGTTATGGGATGCGGATCTGGAGAGACCAGAAACTGTAGATTTGGGGCGTCCACCGTCAGAGCCCTTGATATCACCGCCGCTCTTCCTCCTGTCTGCAGAGACATCGGTCTCGGGTGGGGTAGGCGGTCTGGAGCCCCTTTTGGAGGTTGATGCTGCTCTGTGCAGTTCAGCAGACCTTGATCTCCGTTCTTCGTCGCCAACGTCGGTAGGTTCAGGGGTTGGGGGGTTGGAGAGGTGCGACTTTCGTGGCTCACCCAAGTCGTCGCGGCTCATGACAGCTTCTTTGCTGTGGGCCTTGCTGAAGCTCGGGTAAGGCATAGAGATGCGTGGCTTATCGAGGGATATGCTGATTGCATCTGCGGTTATGTCACTGGTAGAGCCATTTCTCTCGCGAGGCCCATCCCCGTCCTTGTCTCTCTCGCGATCTCTGTCGCGATCCTTCTTGCGATGTCGCCTGGTGGAGGCCTCACTGCCATCTGTGCCAAGCTTACTGCGCGAAGTCGAGGACTTGGAAGATCGGTGGCGGCGTTCACGGTCCTTGTCTCTGTCCTTGTCTCGATCTGTTTTACTCCGTTCCGACTTGGGGCGTCGGGTCTTGTCGCGATGGCCTTCGTCGGCGACGGAGTCGACGTCGGCGTCACGTTCCTTTGAAGGCATGCTTCAGCATTGGGGCCGAAGTGGCCAAGCGGCTGGGTGACGACAGCAGTGGTCGACAAATTTGTGTCCGAGCTTGCTGGTTCCGAGGTTGGAATCGAGAATTCGTTTGCAGTCGCTGCCTCGCTGTTTTGAATGAAGGGAGAAAAGAAGGTGAAGAATGTCGAGTCGGGTCTGGTGGATTTCGTCAGGTTCAGGCACCGATGACTTCACTCAGTGTGGGAGGTAAGTAACTGGGTGCGGGACTATGCGGGACTGGGTGCCCATGAGGATGCGGTGTGCTTGCAGCTCTGGATTCCGGGAGTGGGGGAGGCTGTCTTTGGAAACGGCAGACGAGAAATGTGGATAATAATAGATGCTGCAGAAGATGCTAAGGGAGGAGGAAAAGGACGGTTGAGAAAAAGGTGATGTGAGGTGGAGGAGGAGAATCGACACGGACGAGCGGCAAAAATGCATCGAGCAGGAGCACGAGCAGGAGCAGCTGGGAGCAGCTCGGGGATGCCAAAGTTCAATGCTTGAAGCACTCGAGGCGTCAGTCCACCAGGCTGCCAGTTCATATTCACTTGAGCTGTTGGCCAGTTACAAGGCACAAGGCCCAGACCCTGCACCACCAGCTGCACCACCACCCAAGGGTGTAGCCGCTGCTATGGGGCGGCTTCTCAGGGTCCCGTCTCGCCATCCTTTCTCTTTGGTCCATTCACAAGACAGCCAAGCCAGCCTTCAGAAAAGAAAAAAACTGGGACTCCAGGCTTGCGGGTGGCGTCCAACATTTCCCAAACATAAGGACCACGACCAGCTCATCAATCCTCCCAGACGTCTCGTCTGTCAAGACAGCACATGCCCCTCTGGTTTCCAGCGAGCACCTGCGTGGGGCGAGCTTGAGTTGGGGCTCCAGCTGGCTGGGGTGAATTGCTCGGCCAGCTCAAGGACTGTTTTTGCTAGGTGCGCCGACGTCCCACAAGAATACTCATCTAAATGAAATATATTAAGTGCATACATACTTACGTAAATATTTTTTATTTTATATACAGTATATTACCGTATACTTTATGGTACCTAAATACTAGGGGGATATGCGCACCTAGCAAAAAGAGTCTGCCCGCCGAGCAATTCACCGAGCTTGGCTGCTTGAGCTTTGTTTAGGCTGCAGCATCGACGCCCAAAGCTACATATGTATTCTTCTTCTCTCCATGTCAACGGCTCTCACCCAGTCACCACCAAGAGTACTCAAGTCCTCGCAGCTACGTGTTTGCGCCGCGAACCAGACCATCTCCCAGGCCGACTCATCCAACACGTCTTGCCTCGTCATCGCATCACCACCATCCGCCATCATGTGCCTGCAACTGTTGGCTTAACCTTGCCTGAACACATCTCCCCCCCCCCCAATCGCATCTCCATCACCGCGTAAGCAGCCCATGCACGCCCGATACAAGCAACGCATGCATGACAAGCAGGAATTCGCATCCCTTCTCCATTTCATCTGGAGTTGCTCGACGGGCGCCAAATGCCCACCTCGCTGCACCTCCATACATTCATGCAGGGTTTTAAGCGCCCAGCCTCCAAACTGTCGCCCAACTCTGCAGCCATCCCATCGCATCGCTCTCTCACCGTCCGCGCCGCAGCTTCCACAGAGTACCTTACGTGGGTAGTCAAGTACCTTCATCTTGTCTTTGCTCTATTTTGAACGCAAAATTCTATCTCGAGGTATCTAGATGCACTCAGATGCCCGGTCCATCCTTCCAACACCGTGCTCAAGTGCTGCGAACTACGTTCTGGCCTTCATATTTTTTTGTTTTTGTTTTTGCAATATCTCTTTCCTGTCTCGTGGCAATTTTACGACGCAACACTCACACAGTCCCAAACGCCAGAGCCATATGTCACTCCCGTCTCCTCCCAACCCGCGTCAAGTCACGCACGCAGAGTATCCCTGTTTCATCACTTGTCGTCTTACTTCTGCTTCGAAATCAGTCTTACACTTGGTCCAGCAACCCGCGACTTTCCAATAACAAGATGATCTCATGCACAATCGATCGAACGTTCTGTGTCTGCAAGTCCACCGTGAGATCGGGCTTAGAAGGAACCTCGTAAGGGTCATCAACGCCTGTGAAGCCCTTGATCTCGCCAGCACGAGCACGCTTGTAAATGCCACGTCTGTCAGTCTTCTCGGCGTACTCCAAGGGAGTGGCCACGTGGACCAAGAAGAAGGGACCAGATTTCTCGATGAGCTCGCGAGCCTGAGTACGAGCCTGGTCAAAAGGAGCAATGGGGGCAGCGATCACAGCAGCGCCAGCCTTGGTTAGCTCAGAAGCAACAAAGGCAATTCGAGAGATGTTGAGGTCTCGGTCCTGTCGACTGAAGCCCAGTTCTGGGGAGAGTTCCGATCGGACCGTCTCGCCAAGCAGCATAGAGACTGGCCGTCCGCCACCCTGGTTCAAAGTAGTCTGTAGGGCACGAGCAACTTGGTCCTTGCCACTGTTCTGATAACCAGTCAAGAATACAGTGAAGCCCTTCTCTCGTGGCAATGGGTTCTGCTCTCGGAGAACCTTGACAACCTCGGGGTACGAGAACCACTCAGGGATCTCCTTGCCGGTTCTGAGTCTGTTTCGCAGCTCAGTTCCGGAAATGTTCATGGTGCGAGTGCCCTCGGGGATCTCGTTGGCGGGCATGTACTCTTCCTTGTCGGGAATGTAGATCATCTCCTGGAACTCGACCATCTTGATGCCAAGCTCCTCCTGGTACTGCTGGACAAGCTTCTGGGCATCATAAGGGCCATAGTGGTCCTTGCCGTTCTTGTTCTTGCCGGGACCAGCGTGGTCACGGCCGACAATGAAGTGAGTTGCACCGTGATTCTTTCGGATCACAGCGTGCCACAAGGCCTCACGAGGTCCACCCATACGCATTGCCAAAGGAAGAAGAGCCAGAGCAGCCATGCCATTGGGGTATCTGGGCAGCAGAGCCTTGTAAACTCGAACACGTGTGAAGTGGTCGATGTCACCAGGCTTGGTCATACCAACGACGGGGTGGATGAGAACGTTGGCCTGCTGGGAGCGAGCAGCGCGGACCGTCAACTCGCGATGAGCACGATGCATTGGGTTTCGGGTCTGGAAAGCAACAACCTTTTGCCAGCCGAGCTTGTTGAAGTGGGATCGGAGTTCGGCAGGAGTGACTTGTTCAGTCAGTTAGCTTATGTCCAGACGGTATGGCAAGCAGTGGATTTTGTAGACTTACAGCGAAGGTCGAGGAAATCGTAGTGCTCTAAGCGAGCGACAGCTTCAAGCTTGCCGCCAACGTAGAACTCTTTGGCAACACTGAACAGGTGCTTGGTACCAGGGTGGGTGTCATCGTCGCTGCCAAAGACCTCTTTGGCCTCCTTGACCCTAAGCATTTCGAATTAGTACATTTGATGAGAGATCGGGCCAACGCCACACAAGGTGCAACGTACTTGTCTGGTCGGTACACATCCTCAACAGTTAGGATGGCCACGTTATGGTCGTCGCGGGAATCACGCAACGTCAGCTTAGCGCCAGTCTTGATACCCAGGTCGTCAATCTGTTTCTGGCTAACATCGAGGGTGATGGGCATGCTGAAAAGAGCGCCGTCGGCAAGACGGTTGTTCTCAACTACTCTATAAAAGAAAACGTCAGCCTAAGCTCAAGACTCGTCCTCTGATTGCCATTTCGAGTCTTACCCATTGTAGTCCTTTTCGGTCATGAAACCTATGTTAATACAGTAAGGTCAGTGCCTTTTTCCCTTTCGGCGCAAGGTGTCGCAAAGATGAAGAGCAGCCAGTTGCTGGTCTCGTAGTAGTCTAGTATCCTCCTGGCCCTTCCAGAGACTTACCTTCTAGGGGAGAGAAGCCGCCGTTGAGGATCAGCTCAAGATCGCAGAGATGACGATCTGACAAGACGATGGCGGGATATTTCTCTGCTTCATCGCGCAACTCGGCCTGGCGGGGCAGATCGCGAGCAAACAAGTCCTTGAGGACGCCACCATGAGGAGTGTTTGCCATTTTCTTCTAATGTCTCGAACTGCAAACGCTACAGAAATGTTCCAATTGAGACGTACATGCAGAGGCAGACAGACAACGAGGGATGGAAGAAGAAGATTTCGGGCAGTCGCAAGACGAGCAAATCGAGCGAGGAGCCTGAAGTTAATACTTCAGTATCCAACCCGGGTTCGGAGCTATAATTGTCTACAAGTTAAAGCCCAGGCCCACATGTACGATCACGCAATGGTGGGGGATCCGTGGAAATGGTAAAAGACGAGCGGCTTGGTGTCTGGGGCATCGAATGAGAGAGCAGAAATTCGGAATGCGTCTTATGTAGAAGAGGGGCCCTGGTTTCTAAGTGCTTGAGTGTTACGCCACGCCGATTTCTGACTGCAGTCGAGTTAGTTGCAGTTACACAGAGTGAATTTCTAGAAGTCAGGCGGCATTGAGGACAGAAGCCAGAGATTGAAACACACATGCACTATGACACCTGACAGACTTGCAAACGTCGGGAACAATGCATCTCCAAGAATCCGTGTTTCCCCGCCGTCGTGATGTACCGCTTCCAACATGTCCAAGACTCACGCGCAGCTGCCAGCCTGGCCGCCACCTTCCTTCCGCTGGTAGGCGCAAAAGAGGGTGGGAAGAGATATTTTTTTCGGGGCCGGTCCCTGACGATGACGTGCTCGCTCGCCCACGTTACTCAACCATTGCATGTGCTGAACACACATGACGAGCCGCCAAGGATGTCATAATTATTGGGCGGAAATATGCCATCTGACAGTTGTTTGCAGGTGAGGTTTTTTTTTTTTGTTCACCCTCGTCTGAAGTTCAGCACTGGACGCTCAAGTCAACTCTTCGCGTAATAATAATACCTGCTGCAGAAGGAACAACGGAACAAGATCGCGCCTGGAAGGGGCGTCCGGAGAATGCGATTTGCGACTTGTACACTTTCATGCTCTGCTTCTTAATCAGGCAAGGTCTGATCACACCTTATTTCTGGGTCTCCTTCCGACACGGTCGACCGACCGACTCCCGCTTTCTACCCGACCGACTTGAGCCGCTGCGTTTATGTCCGCGCGGGTTACAATCAGGTCCTCGAAAAACCTTTGAAACTGCTTATTACCCATTGCCACACTTTGCTCCATCCATTTGAGATTTTCCTGACTTACTTTGGCCGGCCATGCTCTGGCCAAAGGTTGGTGGAGTTTGCTGTCCCGCTTGGTGCGACGTGCCGGAGGTCGGATCGTCGGCCACAGGCATCTCCGCCATCTCTTCACTAACGGCCGGAGGAAATGCACGACTTACCTAAAATATTGTGTACGCTTATGCCACGACGCGGAGTCATCGGCGATTTTAAACTACCTGCTTAAAGAGTTCAATGTTTTCTTTTCGCCTCTCCCATTACCGCGATGTAGCCCTCGACTACATATGTGGCGCTGAATCTGCCACGAGCTATCCCTACCTTTTCGGCCCATCGGGGCCCTAGATGATGCATAATGCGATCTCCCCACAGTGAGATGCTGGAAAACGCGGCCAATCATGGAAGTCATATTCGCATACACTCGCCTTTCGATAATTGATACTAATAAGCATGTTTCATATATCTCCGTGCTTTTGTCTGTCTCGCTGTATGTCGTTTGTACCTCTCAGGACAATTAGTTTGTCAGCAATGCAGATTCGCTAGCAAGTTGGAGATGCTCAAACATTACACATTCCCTGTCAGGCACTCGGCGTCTTGCAAATTTACGTGTTCAGGTAGTATCGCGCTCATGGCTAAGCTATACATCTCATCATGACGACAGTAACTTGGAGATGCCCAGGGGAAAGCAAACTAATTAACACTCTTGAATGCACCATTTACTTGATTCCAATGTCTGACCAGTTTTCCACATCACATCTTACAAGCCGCAAGTGAGACTACTAGTGTGGTCATTTGACCCCTTGGTTTCCACCCAGAATCACCTGCGACAGTATTCTACTCTCAATGTTGATGTATTCACATGCTACCAGGTTAAGCTACCCTGTATGCTAAATCGAGTACGTGGGTACGGAGTATTTTCAGAATAATAAAGGCTGGAGCCAATGGGCATCCCGGCGAATGTGGACATTCACTAGATGTTTTAATATAAATCTTCAGCCCTATTTAAATTAAACTGTAGTTGCTTGTTACAACTCACGGTTCTCCTAAGTCAAGCATTTGACTGCGGCCAGGCACTACAGGGGAAAATGGAAAATATGATAACATGAAAAATGATCTCACATAGATCAGTTATTGAACCAGAGCTAAGCACATCTCACCTACCGAGGCAGCCTTTCTCATGGGTACCCGACTAATCGAACCATACTATCAGCTAATTGTTTCACCGCGCTTCACCATCTACAACGATCATGTTACATCTTCTGGAAGCCACGAGTTGTAACAGTCGCACAAGGGCAGAGAAGAATTGATCAAAGACACAACTGATAAGCCATCGTATTTCCAGCGACCTCACAGAAGACTCAATAAACTTGAAACAGCTCGGCAGGACATAGAACATGCAAGACTTCCGGAAGCGGCAGCTTTACATAACTTGTTCACAAAACATACCCCTGGGCCAGCGATAGGAGCTACTCTCTTCACAGGTCCGATCGAACCTGACGTCAAATTGGACCTGAACCACTGAGTGGCAGGTTTGCGCGACGACCCGGCTGTGTTTGCTTCTAACGGCGATCATGGCTCCGAATCAAGCGCGCCACAATGATGACTGCAAAAAGAGAGACGTATACGAAGTATTACACATGCATCGTTGGCAGCATGAAGAGATGTTGATATAACGATGCCCCGAGCCTATGTATTGTATGACTTCCATAGTAACATTAATGAAAACTGGCTTGGATGATGGTGATTGCCAGTAATGACGTCATCATACTTTCGCAAGACCAAGTGGTAACCATCAGACGGGCTCTTAGTAAATGAAGTTCTAGTGCAAATGACGCCCCTGCGTGATTGTTCAGCTTAATGATACCGCTGCGAACACCGACGTTGTGGCACGATACACGCAGACGTCTTTGGCCTGTGGTGGCTTCCACGGTTTCCTAGATGAGAATAATGCATATTCGAGAAGGGTTCGCAGGCAGCGCCACTGGCAGAGAGTCGGTCGTTTGTGCCCGATCATCACTGTGACCTGCTCTTTGCGATAAAGTCACAAGGTCCTAGCTGGCTCTTCCCGCTAGGTTCCGACCTTCCTTGCCTAGTACCCGAGATAAACCAGGATGGCCAGTCTAAAGGAAAGGCGGTGCATTACACCAATATGTACTACTCCGTACTAGAACACCAGGTCCCACGTTTCCACCATTTTGTTGCGTTATTAGCGCAGCGTGTTTGACACTCTGGCCTGGACTGCCCCCTTCATGGGCAAAGGAAACGAAACAAAGCTTGCGCCACCTCCCCCCAAATGGTGCTTCCCAGCCTCCCACGCTCCCAGCCTCACAACACAGTCGAATGATTGATAAGGCCGGGGGAGGGCCTTCCGTTCGGCCTCCGAGGCAAGCAGTCCGTCAGATTGTTGGACAAGCATTTGGAAGTAAGGTCAACTGATAAGGACAAGGAGTAGGTTGTTCCGGTGGGTGGAGGCATAGCTGGGAAAGTCAATGCTAGGGACGACTAGTAGCACTCCGTTGTAGTGTGCAACTCCTGCTGGGGTCCGTGAGACACTTCTCGATTGAACATGATTCATGGTGAATCGAGTGCTCGATTCATCCCGAAGGCGACGGACCAAAGCGGCACAGAGGCCAAGAGGGTGCTGGCAACTACGCCAGCACGGTATCGGACGGCAAGGGCACCCGAGCTGCAAGACGACCAATCTAGACGGTCGGCTTGGTGCTGATGCTAATGCTGATGCTGATGTTGATGGTGTGGTGTTGTGGCGGGCTGTTGGCTACCGTCATTCGAAGGTCTGGCCGTTTAGAATTTAGCCAAGACCGTTAGCGCCACTTGCGTTTGTCTGGCTTCAAAGTTGCGGTGCGGTGCGGTGCCTAGTCCGGTCAATCTCGCCCAGGACAACTGGTCGAGGTCCACTTCATTTATCGATCAAGGCCATTTTTGTCGTCCTTTTGGCGATTCCGGTCCCGCGCTGTGTGGTTGGTGCCGTTGGCAGTGCCGTTGGCGGACTCATGGGCAATCCGGCCAGGATGCCCAAAAATACGAGCTTGCTTGCCCATCTCAAACGGCCACCTCCTCTTGTGCAACCCATCCGTTTTTCGTCCTCGCTGGGGGCTAGGCGATCTGCTCAGCATCATCGGTTGAAGCCGATTCGAGGGCAAGTAGGCGTCGTGACGAGAAATTGAGTCGCGGTTTTCTCTTGTTCGCTTTGGCGAAGCCTAAAGTTTCCCAGAGTGACCGACCATCATCAACGCCCGGTAGCGCCTGCCGGCTGAGACAAACCCCCGACCGCCCTCGAAATCAACCCTAGACAGCTTGCTCATGCTTGGAAAAATTTCGACCTTCGACCTTCGACCTTCGACCTTCGATTCACGACTCGTATCCTTCTCCTGCGTCCCATGTCTCGTCTTGTTCGCTGGCGGATGTTTCGGCTGCATATTGCGAATTCGCCGCCTCGCCACGGCTGAACTCTTGAAACCTACATCGCCAGCAATTGTTTGTGTCGGGACAACATCACCACTACCATCGTCACCCGGAAGGGGCCCTGGGCTACCCTGAGAATCCTCCGTATCGAGTCGAACCCTCCCCTCAGCACTCCGTCTTCACGCCTGCGATACAATGCTGCGATTACGTTCCCCAATGTCGGCTCTTCTGCCGCTCCTAGCTTTGCTGTTATGCCATTCCGCGGCAGCCAACGCGCGAGAACCCGTCTATATCAAGGGATTAGGAATCGACGGTGTGAACCGTGACCTTGAAGTTAGCCGATATCCCGCCCTGTATACGGGTGATTTCGACGACTGCCTTGGTGGAGAGAGCTTGTTCAATGTCACCAAATTCGATGCTGCATACTATGCTGATAATCTCACGGTCCTATTTC